ATCCACTCTTGACGAAATGTGAAAAGTGGGGTCAGCCAGTTGGATGCTTTGCAATTGCGTTAGGGAGCTTATGTCAATGGTTGTCGCTGGCAACCTCGTAGTTATGTTACTTAACACGTGGGCAGTTACGGCGAGGGTGTTTTCAGACACACGTGACTTAATGAATAAGGAAATACGACCACACGTTGTCTCAACCTTTGAAGAAGCGACGCCGGTGACAACAATTCGAAATGGTGAGCGTGGAATGCCAAGCTTTTGGGCACAACGCTCCGATATGTAGGAAAGTTCGGAAGCAGAATCGATTCGCATTCGACATGGAATGAAGTGAACGTGAGCAGTGCGAACGCTGACTAGGGCGGTAGGTAATAGACCCTTACGATACTTTTCGGAAAGAGGAAGTGCGTCTGAGTCAATAGGAGTGACGAACGAAGACGATGGCTGTGAAACATGAGCTGCGGTAGACCAAGGCTTACCTGCTGTTGTGGACGCAACGGGTGTCACTGAAACATGTGGTGATGCTGCCGGTGCTGTTGACGGTACTTCCGGAATCGGCCCAGAAGACTCGGCGTGTAACATAGTGTGGTGTCGTCGGTTGCAACGTCTGCAACGAAACTTAGATACACATGTACTCGACGTATGCCCTGCCCTTAGGCAATTGAAACAGAGCGATTTGTCTTTGACTAGCAGACGACGATCTTGAATAGACATGCTAGAAAAGGTTGGACATTTTGGAATTGTGTGATTCGTGGAACCGCATTTGATGCATTTATGAGTTGCGCTGCAATCGTCGATGGAAACAAATGCCCGTGCGGTAGAGTTACGTGATTTGTTGCTGGATGGTGAGGAGATCTTGCCATCTGAAGAGGGCTTTGGGTGTGCCAATTCAAGTTCCTCGCAGCGAGAGTCCAAAAACTTAAAAAATTCAGTAATTGTAGGCACACTAAGCTCTTTGCTCTCCTCAATCCACTTACGTCTTGATTCAGTGTCCAACTTGGACTCCAGCCATTTGCGCGGCCTCTTCCTTTAAAAATGATTTCAGATAGTGGAACTTCTGCGTGTTAGTGAGGTTATCTTTTTCATGGACAGCACTAACAAAGAGGTCTTTAAACGACGGCCACGCCTTATACTGGCCCGTAAACGGCGGTATAATAATTTTAGGCAAGTCGTTTTCTTTGGGTGCAGCTGCCTGTATGGGCGCCGCCGTGAACTGTTGCAAAAATGATGCTTGCTGTTCAACTAATTTCGCAAGAGAGATTGACTGCTCCTTTTTAACCGGTAGTTGCAACTCGTTACGCAATGAGCGAAGCCGACCACGTGCTGACATAACCTTGTCTTCGTATATTTCAAAGTCCGCGTTAGGATCTGTATAATCTGCTTCTTTGCTGAACTTATACATCGCTGTGGTTATGATGGTGAACTCTTCCCAGAGCTCCTGTAAACGTTCCAATCGCGAAGACACATCTTCCACTGTGCAGTCCACCGGTGGCCTTTCTGCGTAGGCCAGCGTGCGCGAAATTGAGCCTTTCAGGCGGCCGCGTAATTGTACTAAGTCCGCCCAGTCTCTTTGCATAATTGTAGTTTATGTAGCTTATTCCACTTTTAGTCGAGCACGATCCGGCCCGAAGGACCAGAATTTTGTTGATGAATAAAACGAAAAATTAATTTTAACAAAACTTGACTTTATTGCCGGAATGCACTTGACCTAGCGAGAGAAAACAGGTGCAATGCAAATGGATTCCTTTAATTTATGCGAATGCCATGTAAAAAGAGAATTGGTAAAAGCAGTGCTGCCGTGTAGTGCAGTTTATCAAGAAAATCTTTTAAGCGTCAGGGTTGCCGCATTAATCATTTTACAATAAGATTTAAAAATAGAATCAAAACATTTTGATGGTTTATAATGTTAATGAATATGTCGTGCATTCTATTCCGGAACAAATGAATAAATTTTTCTTCAAACAACTCATGTATATCTAATTTCACGTGAACCCATCCTTCACACAAAATATTGATAGATATAGCCCTTGTTATAGACTCTAGTCCGAATTCCGGTAAGTAACATAAAATAACGTCAGAAGCAAGTGATAATGTACCTTTGTACTATTTAGCATGTCATTTGACGGTAACAAGAGCAAATTCAATTTAAATCTATTAAATACATTCTAGTGTGTCTCAGTCCTTTACCCACAAAAGCGGCTATAACTTTTTTTTTTCTATTCAAAACAGTAAGTGTGGCACCTTTCTGAAATCTTTATTAAATGAGCAATTTTTTTATGTAATGCAAAGTTATAGCTCAGTACATTTTTTTTTCACCCGAGATAGTCAAATTTGGGGAAGGAAATATCAAAAAGTTACAAATCCAGAAATAGTCCTAATTTTATGATGGTTCCTTAATATATTTTAACTACATTGCATTTGAGTATGGAGAGGCAACTATCAGGAAGTATTTTACATAAAAAATTTACTAAGTATTGCACGGTTTGTAGTTGCAGTTAAAGAAAACACATGAAAAGGCACGATTTTTTTTAAATTCGAAAAAATGTAAATATTTCAAAAACGGTGACACTTTTACCTGAAAATTTTTTGTTTATCAGTGAGCTCACCCCCCCCCCCCCCCCCCCTTCTTCCCCTAAAGTTTGGCACGTTACTTCTGGGACACCCTGTATATACACGAGATTTTGAAGTCTTTATACAGACGTCCAATCGACATGTTTGAGATGTCGTTGGAAAGGTCTTGCAGAGTGTGTCCAGAAAATGTATTCAAGCTTCATAAACAATTAAGCGGATTCTTAAAAATTTGGCTAAAGTGTTGCGAAACAAAAAAATTTTTTTTTGCTTTTGTCCGTTTAAAGGGCATGTGGGTACACCAAACATATTTAGTGTTATTCTATAGGACAATACCTTTCAAACGATACCTTATATATTAAGTTCCGGCTACTAGTTGGAAAGATATAGAGGTGTTTTGGTACGTGTGTCCACTACGAAATGCTTTGCCTTCATCTAATTTTGTTCAAACTTTCAGGAATTAAAGTACAAAAAAATAAAAAGGTTTGGTTCCAGGATGTTTTGATTCGTATACCAATGCACTACCTTCGGCGAAAGGCCCCAGCGCTTGCCAATGGCCCCTCTGCAACAATACAGTGCTACTGTAGCCTTCTTGACTCTTTCCTCTACGTTAGGCTTCCAGGAGAGCTTACTGTCAAGCATCAAGCCCAAGTACTTAAACCCGTCAGAGAGACTTAGAGGAAGACCACCCATCGAGGGGAGACGGCAATTCGGTATTATACCTTCTAGTAAAGAGAACAAGCTCCGTTTTGCTGGGATTTACACCCAGACCGCAACTAAACGCCCAGTTCTCAACCAAGATCAAGTAACCCTGCATAAGCTCAAACAGTGTTTCTGGAAACTTTCCTTTTGTTATCAATACTACATCATCGGCATAGGCAACTAACCCACAGCCACTTCTCTCCAGAGACACCAGCAGGTCATTGATTACAACGACCCAAAGCAACGGCGAGAGAACTCCCCCTTGCGGGGTACCTCTACTCACACTCTTCCGGATAGAAGCGCTGCCCCACTCTGCCGCGACAGTTCTATTGCAAAGCAAGCATTAAATAAACCTGACAAGGTCGGCTCCGACCCCTAGCTTATTTAGGGAGTTAACTACAGCCTCAGGCAAAACATTGTTAAAAGCACCCTCGATTTTAAGGAAGGCACCGACCGCGAACTCCTTCTGCAAGAAGGATTGCTCAATATTTTCAACGACCGTGTGTAAGGCCGTTTCGACAGACTTGCCCTTGCAATAAGCATGCTGGTCCATGGAAAGGCGCTCCCTGAGGATCCCGCTCCTTAAATGCAGATCGATCAGCCTCTCCAGCGTCTTCAAAAGAAACGAGGAGAGAATTATCGGCCTGAAATCCATGGGTGATACATGAGAGGCTTTACCTGCCTTGGGAATGAATACCACTCTGACCAACCTCCAAGCCACCGGAACATGACCCTTAGCCAAACAGCCCTCGAAAATGGGCACCAACCAGCGGCACGACACTTCTGCAGACTTCTGCAGTTGGGCCGGTATTATGCCATCGGGGCCCGGGGCCTTAAAGGGCTTGAACGAGCTAATGGCCCACAGAAGGCGATCCACGGTTAGGATTTCCGAGACATTCGTCTCGGGATCGACGTCCCCAAACGCATCCCCCACG